TTAGAAGCATTTTTTAAAGATAACCCCAGGAGACCTTCCAGAATGCACTGAAAAACAGTAAAAAAATTAACTATTTCAGACATTTTGAGAGAAATAGAGAGAGCAGAAGCAGAGAGAGCAGTATGTGTTGAGATTAGCTGTCTTTTTTTTTGTGGTGTTTGGGTGTGTTCCAGCTCATTTCTGTGCAGGTATTATTGCAGCAGCGTCTAACCTCAAAGTATGGTGTACCGGGTCCATTTGAGTACCGGGAAAACGCTTTGCATGCATTTTTCATGATGAAAAAAGGCTCTGTGCAGCATCTGGAAATGGAAGAGTTAAAAAAAATTTCCAAACGCTTATAAACGCGGTTAGCCACGTTTACAAGCATTTGGTGTTTGAAACACTGATAAAATGTACTCCTTAACGCAAGTTTGGTGCGTTCAAAAAAACGACTGTAACCTCAACTGCCTGTTAACGACTATGTGTACATGGACACATAGGAAATCATTAGGGAGATTAAAGGGGCTGCTGAAAAAAACGCAGAAAAGCTCCTGAACGTCAGTTTATCAGCTGCAGTGTACATGGAGCCTTAGAGTTGAACTTGGTGATAAAGTACAGAGTATCTAGTGGTGTCACCTAGGTTTGGGAAACGGCGTGTTATAGATTGGTAACTCTAAAGTGGAACTCCAGACATTTCATTTAGAACATGGGAGGGTTAGACCAGCCTTTCTCAACCAGGGTGCCTTGAGGTTTCTTCAGGGGTGCCTTGAGGTTTCTTCAGGGTGTGCCTTGAGGTTTCTTCAGGGGTGCCTTGAGGTTTCTTCAGGGGTGCCTTGAGGTTTCTTTGCCTTGGCAAAATGTCTAAAAATTGCCCAAAATCTATATACAAGCCAATGGGTGGAACAAGCCTGCCTGTTAGTTACACAAAGCACCAGGTTTTCCTTGAGCATCATTGCAACCTTTTAGCCACCGGCGTCCTGACAACCAATGACATTATCAGTTGAGTTTTTTTATTGCTGTTGGTGTCCCTGTGACAGGAAGTGAGGGGAAAATATTCCCAACAGGTACACAGACAGCAAAAAAACCTTGAAAGGGTCGGCTGCCTGCACAGAGGGAGAAGGGAAACATTGGAATACTAGTCAGTACCAGTGTGCAAAAGTGTATTTGCTTTGGAAGAGTAAATCACCTGTAATGTTTGGTGTGTCCTACATGTGTGGATGTTGCAGCGTTCTATAAAACTATTAGAATAGTTTTTTTCACATTTTAGAATGGGGTGCCCTTTTAAAATTATAGACAGTCTTGAGGCACCCCATTTTGGAATGGGGTGCCTCAAGACTTTCCATAATTTTAAAGGGTGCTTCAGGACTGTCCATAATTTTAAAGGTGCCTTGACTGAAGAATGGTTGAGAAAATCTGGGTTAGACCCTTTCAAGGTTTTTTTGCTGTCTGTGTACCTGTTGGGAATATTTTCCCCTCACTTCCTGTCACAGGGACACCAACAGCAATAAAAAAAAAATCAAAGGGGATTAAAACAGAGATAAAGAGTCAGTGGTATTGAGGTAGACTAAGGAGTTTCGGGAAACTTACTCCCTTCAGGCTCTGAAGAAGGGAGCACGTCTCCTGAAACGCGTTAGCCTACCTCAATAAGGGTCTACCGTTACTTTGGACCAACACCACTGACTCTTTATCTCTGTTTTACCCCCTTTGTTTTGTGAGCACTTTTATGCGTTTAAATAAACTCGTGTTTCACCACAGTAATGTACAAAGAGAGTGCGCCCTGTTTTTGCTTTTTCTTTACCAGTACCAAGATTTCCCGATCTTCTAAAGGCTATACCTCAATAAATGACAGTTACAGTTATCCTAGTCTGCATGAAGATTTGAGCGCTTTTAGTTTTTTGGATATTATTATATTTTTGTATCTTTCTTGTCTATACTGTATTTAATATTCTTGTTTGGCTTTGCCTGTTAATATTTGAGAACCTGCGTTTTGAAGGCAAAGATGTACTGATGTTTACCAAAAGCTTCACCCCAGGAGAGCAGCTAAATACACAACTGATAGACATAAAGAGGAACATTTTACCTGCCAAAGAATTGTAAAATATATTACCCGGGTTTGTGATCCAAACATCCTAGCTAGATTAAAGCAGAATTCCATGTAAATTTTTTTAATTTCCCATGCAGTGGGTCTGTGCCGACACTGCATGGGAAAACTGCTCATTTGGTCCAGGGGTTTAGGGAAGAGCTATACTTACCCTATCCTCCGATCCACCGGAAAATCGTGCTCCCCCACGTCCATCAGTGGACTGTTCCTGCTGTCCTCATGCTTGGAGTTGGTCTGTGGGCGTGATGACATCAGGAACAGTCCATTCACAAGACTACTAGCATGCAGAGGGGCAGAAGTGGCAGGGACAGGTCTTGCACTCCGAGGATCTGCGGATTCGGTCAGTATATCTTGCTGTTGTCACCCCTAGACAAAATCGGGCAGTTAGCCAATGCGGTGTGGGCACAGCCCCAGCGATGTCATCACCTGATCTGGAACTTTGCCGGTCTTCAGGTCCAGGCGCCAGCATCTTACCTGTGAGCAGCCAACTGTGACTTCTTGCGGCATCACAGCTGGCTGCCCCCTTGCGCATTTGCAAGCTTCTCTGAGCCCTGTGAATAGTACCGCAGTCTCCTGGAACCTGTGATGTGTTCCTAGAGGCTGCAAGGGAAGTAGGGGTGCAAACTTCCACTCCTATCATCTACGTGGTTGGAGCAAAAGTGGGAGCAGGTACCTAAATCAGGTACCCCTCCCCAAAAGAAAAACCATTCCAAATATGGGAAAGGAGGGGGGATGAAGAGGAAATGCGGAACTTCCCCTTTACGGTGAAGTTACACTTTAACCTCTGACAGCCTAGTCTAGGACACACCTACACCTTGCTGATTGGATGATAAAGGGTTAGCAGCATACTGAAAAGTGATTGCTCTCCTTCTGCCTGCAGGATTCCTATCAGCACATGTGATCCTAAATGATTCCTCGTGTTTCCCCTCCCTCTCCCTCTATTGGTTGTTTCCTATCAGCAGATGTGATCCTAAATGATTCCTCGTGTTTCCCCTCCCTCTCCCTTTATTGGTTGTTTTCTATCATCACATGTGATCCTAAATGATTCCTCGTGTGTCCCCTCCCTCTCCCTCTATTGGTTGTTTTCTATCATCACATGTGCATGCAGCAAGAGCCTAATTGGCTCCACGTACTTTCCCTTCCTCTTCCTTGATTGGCTTCAGACAGATTTTGGAAAACAGTCTTTTCTTCCAGCCAAACAAGCTGCAGATCTTGCAGGGTCTCCCTAATGTGTGTGTTGCCGTTTGCACCCGTATCTTGATGTGCAAGCATTCCATGCATCCATAGCACAGGCAGCAGTGAAGGGGTCCTTTCTAAGCCACACCCCTGCTCCACCCACCTCTGCTTAGATTGACAGCTGGCTCCATTCTGTTGCTCTCTATGAGAAAGGGGAACACATGCACATTACAAACCAATGCCAATGACCTGACATGGGCAGAACCAAAAAAATTAGTTTCGGTTCTCTGAGTTACTCATTTCGTTTTTTTTTTTTTTTGCGTTCATAAAGAAATTTGTTTTGTCAGATCTGGTGTGGATTTTAAGGGGAACCCCATGCCAAAATTAAAAAAAAAAAAGTCCAATAAGGGGGCCGGCTCCTGAGTTCACACAGGAGCAGTGGGGAAACTGCATGCGATTTGGACAGGAATCGCATTCCTCTTCAAATTGCATGCTATTCTTTGCGTTGCAATTTGAGTCCGCACATTGTGTATTGATGTAAATTGCACCGCAAAGTAACGGTACTCGGTATCGGCAAGTACTTGACCCAAAGTATCGGTACTCATACTTACCAATCAAAAAATGGTATCGGTGCATCCCTAACATTTATTGTCCCTATTGACAATTTATCATGACGTAGGTAGTCCCATATGACTTATAATGACGTTACTTGTTCGCAGGGCTTTTTCTGAAGAGAATAGGTTCATGTACTCCCCCCTTTCTGTGACACCCCCTTGTCTCTGCCCCCTACCCACCTTCAAACACTATCCCTTGGTTCCACCCTCTACCCACCTCCCAGTACCATTCCTTTTACAGATAGGCAGCACAGTGGCTAAATTGTTAGCACTTTCCGCCTGGCATTACTCGGGTCGTCGGTTCGAATCCTAACCACGGCACCACCTGCCTGGAGTTTGCATGTTCTCCCTGTGCATGCATGGGTTTCCTCCGGGTACTCCGGTTTCCTCACACACTCCAAAGACGTGCTGGTAGGTGAATTGGCCCCTGTCTAAATTGTCCCTAGTATGTGTATGTATGAATGTGAGTTAGAGACCTTAGATTGTACGCTCCTCGGGGGCGGGGACTGTTGGGAATGTACAACATATATGTAAAGTGCTGCGTACATTGACGGCGCTATATAAGTACCTGAAATAAATAAATAATAAATAAACATACAGAACCAAGTATCGTTTGTATGGATTTGGTTAATAAAAAGAAAAGTCGTAAAAAAGATCTATGCAGCCTGCAACAATAGATCTCTTCAGCAGCAATAGATCCCCCCAACAACAACACACCCACACATCAACAATAGACCCCTTGCAACAAAATAACCCCCCCAACAACAAAAGACCCCTGCTAGCAGCAATACAGTAGATCCCTCAACAGTTGATCCCTACCAATGACAATTTATCCCCCATCAACATAAGACACCACCCAGCAACAATAGATCCCCCAGCAGCCAGCTTCAGTAGACCTTCCAGCACCCTACTGGAGGTGAGGTGCGGGAACTGTGTTCCCATGCATTCCTGCTGAAATAAAAGCCCTACTTGTTCAACTATGCCTGTTGTCAGTGTTCTTGTGCGGGGTCAGTCTATAGACAGGTACTCTTTACAGCCAGATACTCGTGGTAATAAAGAAATGAAGGGCTTGAGGGCCCTGTGGATGATCCACAACATTAATCTAACCACTCTCCTTATTTCCATACCAGTTCCTTGCATTCGACACTCAGCTGGTGATCGGAAACCGCAAACACTCCATCAGCCCCGAGGAATATGTCTACGGCGCCATGAAGATTTACACCGACATCGTTTACATTTTCATCAATTTGCTGCAGCTCGTCGGTAGTCGAACCTAGGACAACTCAAGTCTGAGCGAGAGTGCGGCCATTTTGTTCCTGAAAGGAAGTCCTACTTTTCCCTTTTTTTTCAAGTGACTCCAAGTTTCCCCTTTTGATGAGCCCATAAACATGAGACGGAGGACTGAAGATGATTTGGGGGGAATGTTACATTTAAATAGTATTTTCATTTAGTCGCCATTATCTTTGTTTAGATGTTGCTTTTAAATGTATTATATTCACCAAAGAAGAAAAATTTGGTATCCTATTGAACAGTGGTTCTCAACCTTCCTAATGCCGCGACCCTTTAATACAGTTCCTCATGTTGTGGTGACCCCCAACCATAAAATTATTTACCCAATAATTATAATTCATGAGTGTCGTTTTACCTCCAATACTGCTGCTTTCACACAGTAGCTGCTTTTAACAGAGTAGCTGCTTTCAACACAGTACTGCTTTTAACAGAGTAGCTGCTTTCAACACAGTAGCTGCTTTCAACACAGTAGCTGCTTTCAACACAGTAGCTGCTTTCAACACAGTAGCTGCTTTCAACACAGTAGCTGCTTTTAACAGAGTAGCTGCTTTCAACACAGTAGCTGCTTTCTACACAGTAGCTGCTCTTTACACATCGGAAATATGTGTTTTGTGATGGTCTTAGGGGACCCCTGTGAAAGGGTCGTTCGACCCCCAAAGGGGTCGCGACCCACAGGTTGAGAACCACTGCTATAGAAGCTTCGCCAATTGTGCGTCAGTTCATTTATCAGATGCAGCTTAGGAGCTCCTCATACAGATGACATTCATCCTGCATCTTGTACAGGATCTGCTCATCTGTGCACATTATTGCACCCTGGTAATTAAAATGTATTTATTTATTTCAGGTACTTATATATCGCCATCAATGTACTCAGCGCTTTACATATATATTGTACATTCACATCAGTCCCTAACCCTCAAGGGGTGTACAATCTAAGGTCCCTAACTTACATTCATACATACACATACTAGGGACAATTTAGACAGGAGACAATTCACCTACTAGCATGTCTTTGGATTTTGGGAGGAAACTGGAGTACCCGGAGGAAACCCGCACAGGGAGAATATGCAAACTCCAGGCAGGTGGTGCCGTGGTTGGGATTTGAACCAACGACCCCGAGTACTGCCAGACAGAAGTGCTAACCATTTAGCCACTGTGCTGCCCACAAAATGAAACTAAACCCTAGCTGGATGGCGTTCAGTCTACTAAAGCACTGGGTACCCTTCACACTTTTTCATTTTGTAACCCATCTAAGTTCTGCTAATCTTCTCCAGCCACTTCCTCATATCCAGGATCAGCTGCACATCATTGCTCCGGACTGGCTTCTTGATGGAACAGCAAGGGACCATGCCTGAGCAATCTGTGTTGGCACAGCCACCTGCAGTTTCCATCAGGGGCATACATGAAAGGGTGACAACGTAGGAATGCAATTGTAAGGCCGTTGTCACCCCATAACAGGAAGTGACTCATGGGCAGCACAGTGGCTTACTGGTTAGCACTTCCGCCTGGCAGTACTCGGGTCGTTGGTTCGAATCCCAACCACGGCATCACCTGCCTGGAGTTTGCTTGTTCTCCCTGTGCCTGCGTGGGTTTCCTCCAGGTACTCCGGTTTCCTCCAACACTTCAAAGACATGCTGGTAGGTGAATTGGCTCCTGTCTAATCTGGCCCTAGTATGTGTATGTATGGATGTGAGTTAGGGACCTTAGATTATATGCTCCTTGAGGGTTAGGGACTGATGTGAATGTACAATATATATATGTAAAGTGCTGCGTAAATTGACGGCGCTATATAAGTACCTGAAATAAATCATAAATAAATGGCGGGATCACCAGGGATCTATGATAATGAAAGCCGCAGCCTCAAAAGTTTTGAAATGACATGACCATTTAGTGTTCGGGTTTAGATCTACTTGATCTAGAATATTGTTTTAATTGCAGAGCTGTAGAAATGACTTCAACCCATCAGCATGTTCACCCCCTACCCTTACAGTAGCAGCAAAGAATAAAATCATCTACCCATCCCCCGACACTTTCACACACTAGGTGCCTTTCCCTTCGCTGCATCATGCTCAGCTCCAGTAAATATTGGAACTGAGCAGGGAAAGCTCCTATTTGCATTAAGGGAGCTTATACTATAGATTTACACTTTTGTTCCCTAGCTAAGCAGTACTCCTTTATGACTTCCCAAGTGAGGCCGACGAGGGGCCACACACAGGAGCAAAAATGCAAAATTGTTCACATGTACGTTGCACTTCGTAGTTTGGAGGTATCATATAAAGTTTTTGTTGTTATTTGTTATCATGGGCTGTGCTTTTATGCCCGTTTTACATTCAGATAGTGTTTCGTGGAGTTTTTTCTCCTACTTTTTTGTTTTTCCTATCTTTGTAGTGAAATGTTTCCTATGATAAAACTGAAATTTTGTAAATGTCTGCTTGTGTATTGGCCAGTGGTGCTCCACAGACCTACATTGATAGATGCTGTGATCTTCCTTGTATCAGAGATGGACTTGAGAAGGATATTTCTTGTCTGTGGAAAAGAGCAAAAATTGTATGTGCCTTACATTATATAGTAATCTGCTTTTGTATAGAATCCGGGGAGCCCTCTTGCACACACAAAGCAAGCCGCCATTTTGTAGGTTGACCAGAGCTGAGACTGTTGGGTTCACTGGAAAACGGTGATAACCCTGAGCCTTACAGATCGGGGTGAAGTCCTTGTGGCACAGACAAGCCCTCTGCTAATACATCTGCAGGTATGACCTGGTTGTCCAATTTTGAAGTGTAGGAAGTCCTTGGTAAGTCATCCATCAATTTGCATATCGTCATAACAGTGAACCAACTGAGAGGTGCGGATGTTCGCAAGCATGGGGACTTTGTATGTGGGAAGACCCCTGCACCGTGCAGGCTTTGTTAGGTCAGACTCTAGGTCCGTGGTCTTCAGGAAGGATGAGGCCTTTTGCATTTAATGGCTACTTGGGGAACAATTCTTCTATCAACAATTACTTGACACAATTCCTCCTACTGACTTCCGTGATGGGGCATAAAACCTCCATCTGACACCATTGATGGGGCATAATTCCTCCAACTGACACCATTAATGGGGCATAATTGCTCCAACTGACACCATTGATGGGGCATAATTCTTCCAACTGATAACCATTGATGGGACATAATTCCTCCAATGGACACCATTGATGGGGCATAATTCCTCCAACTGACACTATTGATGGGGCATAATTCCTCCAACTGATAATTGATCATTGATGGGGCATAATTCCTCCAACAGACACCATTGATGGGGCATAATTCCTTCAACTGACACCATTGATTTTTGATAGGGCATAATCCCTCCAACTGACACCATTGATGAGGCATAATCCCTCCAACTGAAACCATTGATGGGGCATAATTCCTCCAACTGACACCATTGATGGGGCATAATCCCTCCAACTGACGCCATTGATGGGGCATAATCCCTCCAACTGACGCCATTGATGGGGCATAATCCCTCCAACTGGGTGGGGCATAATTCCTCCAACTGACGCCACTGATGGGGCATAATTCCTCCAACTGACACCACTGATGGAGCATTTCTCCCATTGACACCTTGTATTTGAATTGGGATGGTGACAATGTAAGTTCTGATTCCAATGGGGCACAGTTCCTCCCATTGCTGACACCTATGATATTGCACAATTTTATCCACTCACACCAACAATGGGGTACTATTCCTTCTCTAAAACCGACAATGGGGCATTTATTCCTCCCTTTACTGATCACAGGCAGCAGGGAATGTGCTCCCTCTGACACCAGGGCATTTTCTATTTTCTATATTCTATTCATTTGATAGTGAACTAGACCTTTGTTTAGGATTTCTGAAGACTCCTGCTCTAGGTGGATCAGCAGATTGCCTATCCAGGATTTGCTCTTATCTAAGCCCTCATAGGATGGAATTTGCATTCCAAGATAATCAATCAAATTCAGCCTTTTCATTCCACAAAATTAATGCCCAACTCCAGACAAATCATATTTAGTTTCAGAGCAAAGAATTAGGCCATTGGCAACCTCATTTGAAATAATGCTTTCAATGTATAGCATCACTGATGGGCCGTTTTCGAATGTCCTAGAAGGTGCTAACGTATTCCTATCTCTCCAGCAATTGGAAAATCTTACTACAAACAGTCCCGCTCCTTCAATCTCCCATTTAGAGCTACCTTTCTCAACTTTTCTACCCCAGAGGAACCTTTAAAATAATGTTCAGGTCTTGGAGAACCCCTTCTAAAATCGCTTCATTAAGGGTCAAATGGAAAATTGCAGCTCACATTGGTGGTTTGTAGGAAGAATGCTCCCCTTACAGCAGCAGTCACAAAGCCACTCTTTCAGACAGCTCAGAAGATCATTGGTGTCATGCTGCCAAGTGGCATTGGTCCTGGAGCTAAGCACCATCAGATGGTAGGTCAATCAGCCATATAATGGCACTTACATTGGAGGTCAGTGGTAAGAATGGCCCCCTTACAGATAGTTAAAAAAGATCATTGGTGTCATACCCAGGGGCTGACTGACCATTTTTGGAAACTCAGGCACTGCCTAAGGGCCCGGGGTCAGTAGGGAGCCCCATGAGATGCCCCTGGTACCTTTTTCATAAGCTTTTTTTTAGTTTGGGCAAGGACACAGGGGCCCCATGATCCCCTATTGCCCGGGGGCCCCATGAGTTGTCAGTCTGCCCCTGGTCATAACGCTCACTGCCAAATAGCACCAACAGATGGGAAGTCAACCAGCCACAGATCAAAGAAACCCTAGCTACCTTTGGAGAACCCTAGAGTTTCATGGTTGAGAGTCGCTGATTTAGCACAATGGCCATGGGGCAAGAATCTTTGGGTTGAGGAAGTAACATAGGCAGACATCTCCCATACATCATTCTTGGGTGGTTGGAGGATATCTGCTTGTCTATGGTCATATGTCTATGACAACCTTGCTGTTGAATGATACCT